AGGAGTTGATTAGGATTTATATGCAGATGTACTGAGGTGTGGAACGTGAGAGGGCTGTGTTGAAGTCTTCTAGCTAGAAGGATCAATTGGGTTTCCTGGAGGAGTTTGCATTTGAACTGAGCCTTGAAGGGGACAGGCTTGGCCGTGGGGCATTAGGGGAGGGCTGCAGGAACGGTGTGATCAAGGGCACACATGCAGCAGATGGGCATGTGCCACCACTTGCAGCAAAGGCTGCGAGTCCCTGAGTTGGTTTCTTTGCAGAGAGCCTGGGTGGGCGTGGTTGGGGCCTTCCTGGCTGCCTTCTCATCTGTGTTCTCTGTTCCAGCGTCTGCGTTTCCTGAGGACTTCTCCATCCTAACCACTGTGAAAGCCAAGAAAGGCAGCCAGGCCTTCCTGGTCTCCATCTACAACGAGCAGGGCATCCAGCAGATCGGCCTGGAGCTGGGCCGCTCTCCAGTCTTCCTCTACGAGGACCACACAGGGAAGCCTGGGCCGGAGGATTACCCCCTCTTCCGGGGCATCAACCTGTCGGATGGCAAGTGAGTGAGCACTGCTGGCCCCGTCCTCCTGCTGGGGGAGGGCACAGGCGTCTGAAGACACTGGCTGGATACGGGCGTGACCACGGGGTGTGCAGTGGTTAGTACTGAGATGCTCCAGGGGGAGAAAGCTCTGAGCTTGCTGTCCTCAGACCTGGCCTCTGGTCTTGGTTTATCCCCCATGGCTCTGAGGAGTCTTTTCTCCTCCTGTGCCTCCATTTCCCCTTCGTGAAGTGCACTCACGTACATCAGATGTTAGCCTCGGTGTCAGGCGGGACAGAGGAGCTTGTGCAGTTACACCCAACTTATTCTAGGAAGGACTTAAGGTATCTTTCAAGGTAACCGACACATTAGATGTTGGAGTGAACGATTTAAAAAGAAAAGGCAGGTCTTGCCAGAATTCTCTGTTGGGTGCACACCCAAATGCTGGTGGCTTGAAAGTCACCTCTTTTGTGGCTAATGCATCTGAGGTCACGCGTGGCAATCTCTGAAGACCTTCAGAACGGCATTTCTGTGTT